CTGAGGAGGAGGAAGAGAGAGGGCTGATAACAAGGTGGAAAGGGAGAGGAATTACAACGGGGCTGAAATTAATCCTCTAAATTATGCATGTTTTTTTTCTTTTTCTTTTTTCTTTTCTTTCTCTTCTTTTTTCTTTTTTTTCTTTCTCATTTCTTTTTTTTTTATTTCTTTTTTCTTTCTTTTCTTTTCCTTTTTTTCCATTTTTTCTCAAAAGCCATTTTTTTTATTTCTAGAAGCGAGAGGGCAGTTGTAGGGGTAGTAGTTATCAAATGGAATGTTGTTGGTACTGTATATGAAATGGAAGGTAAATGGTAGAAGAGCACAAGTAAGAGTATAAAATAGAGCATAGATTAAGAAATAGAATATATATACATACATAAATTAATAAATAGATAAATAAAAAGAAACGGGAAGTTTATACACAGACAGGGAGAAAGATGGAAGCAGGCAGGCAGAAATATAAAGATAAACACATGAAAGATGTGAGTAAATGCGATAGAATGCGAGAGAAGGGGAGCAGAGAGAAAACTAGATAATTAGATAAATAGAGAGGGGGATAATGAAAGAAAGCGAGAGAGAGATGGTGAGAGAAAAGGGAAAAGAGAGAGACAAAGATGGCGAGAGAAAGCGAGAGAGAGAGAGAGAGAGAGAGAGAGAGAGAGAGAGAGAGAGAGAGAGAGAGAGAGAGAGAGAGAGAGAGAGAGAGAGAGAGAGAGAGAGAGAGAGAGAGAGAGAGAAATCGAGATGGAGAGATGACGAGAAAAAAAGCGAGAGAGAAAGATATTAAGAGAAAGCGAGAGATAAAGATAGTGAGGGAAGTGAGAGAAAGTGAGAGACGGCGGGAGAGAGTATCCTTGGCTGCTCAATCAGCGACCACTCTGCAATAAGCTAACCGCCGCCGCCAACCTTTTGACCTCGGTAGTACGACCTCCGATGACCCCGTTAACGCGAACTCTCTAACTACTTTGGCCAAAAGGGGGCGCATCCGGCTTGGCTCTGCGGCGGGGGGGGGGGGGTCGGTGGAAGAGTTTTTATAGAAAGTCACCCATTATAAGGAGTGATTAAAATTGTCTAAAAGGAAGTCACTTTTATACGTATGTTGCAAGAAGTCATCTGTATAAGAAGTCTTTTGATATACGCTTGTGGACGTTTATTACAGGAAGTCATAAATCACAAACCGTCTCTTATATAAAAAAAAAGCTCATTTGCTATAAATCTGTTAAAAGAAGTCAACTGTTACAAAATCTTTCATTTCAGTTTTGATAAGACTTTGTTATATATATGTCATAAGATGTACCCCATTTTTTTCTTTTGGTAAATTTTAGGCAGCTACCCCTTAAAAACCTTTATCGCCGAATCCCTAATTTGGCCAACTCGTTTTTAACTCGCTCGTTAAATGTCGCTTGCTTTTCCCTCTTCCGTGCTCGTAGGATAAGCCAAGTTTCCCTCCAGTGCTTGAGAATAATTGCCTCTCTAACTCTGCTATTTGTTTGTAGTTGGTTTGCTTCTTTGTGTCTCCGTCGTCAGCATATCTTCCCTGTTATCTATTTGTTTGTTATTCCGTACATTATGACAACTTCGAGTGTTTTCATCTACCAGAATATTAGTCTTCTTGCCTGAATGCGTGCCTGACCCCCTGGTTATCTGCCTGCTTGTTCACCTGTCTGCCTGCTTGATTGTGTATCTACCTGCCTGCTTAGCCTCTCCTTGGGCGTGTATCTGTCATTCTAACTGTAGGTTGCTTGCTTGCTTGACTGCTTTATTTATCGTACAGCGTCGCCATCTGCGTTAAATCATGTCTGTCTGTCTGTCTGACTGCCCGTCTTCTTGTCTGTGTGTGTGCTTGCCTGACTGTCTGTGGATCTACTTGCCTGTCTGTCTGTCCCTCTGCTTGCCTTCCTGCTTTCCTATCTGTCTGCCTGTCTGTGCTTCTGCTTACCTGTCTGTGCTGTCTGTCTGTGCTCTGTTACCTGTCTGTGCCTCTGCTTACCTGTCTGTGCCTCTGCTTCTGTGCCTCTGCTTACCTGTCTGTCTGCTGTCTGCTCTGCCTGTGTGCTCTGCTTACCTGTCTGTGCCTGTCTGTGCCTCTGCTTACTGTCCTGTCTGTCTGCCTGTCTGTGCTCAGCTTACCTGTCTGTCTGCCTGTCTGCTCTGCTGTCTGTCTGCCTGTCTGTGCTTCTGCTCACCTGTCTGTGCTTCTGCTCACCTGTCTGTGCCTCTGCTTACCTGTCTGTCTGCCTGTCTGTGCTCTGCCTGTCTGCCTGCCTGTCTGTGCCTCTGCTTACCTGTCTGTCTGCCTGTCTGTGCCTCTGCTTACCTGTCTGTGCCTCTGCTTACCTGTCTGTCTGCCTGTCTGTGCCTCTGCTTACCTGTCTGTCTGCCTGTCTGTGCCTCTGCTCTGTCTGTGCCTGTCCTGTGTGCCTGTCTGTGCTCTGCTTACCTGTCTGTGCTGTCTGCTGCTTACCTGTCTGTGCCTGTCTGTGCCTCTGCTACTGTGTCT